GTTGTCCTTGTCTTCTTCCCTTTCTTTATCTTCCTTTTCTGCCTTGATCTCCTTCTTCTCTTTGGAATCCCGTGTCCTCAAAGATCTGCCTCGTTGCTGCCTTTTTATAGCCTTAATCTGCCTCTAAAACGCAGCCACCACACCTCCCTAATCTTAATTAGGGTTAGGTTAAGAGGGGGTGTGGGCTGTGGGCTGATAAAGCCCACATGGGCTGAATATGGGCCATCAGCCCAACAAAAGCAACCTCACGTGGAGGCGCAAATTGAGATCCAAGTTGCCCTTTCACCCTGTCACACGAAAGCTATCAAAGAATTCTATATCAAACATCTTCAAATTGAAGTAAATCTTTCTCATTATTAAAAATTAATAGTAAGCGAGGATAATCAACTATCGATAACGAGTCACTCTCGATCTTATCACATATTAATCCTTTAAAACCCTAAGAGAATCCTGATATCTCTAAATTGACACAATCTTATTTGACTAAAACTTTATTTAGCCTAATTAGTTTTCTATATCATATGAGTGCTTTGAGATTCATAAAACGCAATATATATCTAATAGATTGGTCCATTGTATTCATTAGCATTCTTATTCTTGATAGTTGCATGATCTAATTTTTTAAGAGAGTCATTAGTAGGATTGAAGATTTAATATAGAATATATTTCTAAGACATCCCCGATTGATTTTTATTGAACACACTTTTGACATGTGATTGGTGTATTAGTCTATTTTCGTATAGTTATATCCTTCTCGATTGATACATAGGAAATATAATACACTTTATGATACTTCTTAGAACATCATATTATCTATCTTATAATCCTTTCTTTAATTATATCATTTTTTACATCATTCTTTTTTAGTGCGTCATATTGGTCCACTGTATTCATTAGTGTTCTTAAAATTATATTTTTGATAGTTGATGGTCATTGGTAGGATTGATATCTTGTCCTATTTTATTTTGTGCTGGAATAATATCATCCAAGTTTTCAAGATAGAATATATTTATAAGACATCCCCAGTTAATTTTAATTAGACATACTTTTGGCATGTGATTGGTGTATTAGTATACTTTTAGTTATATCCTTCTTGATTTGTAGATCACTCGGGAGATACGATGAAGTAATTTTCTGTAATAAAATGTCAGATCTGATCACAAATTTATTGTACATTTTATAGTTATTTGGGGTGAGAAGATAATACAAATATACTCAGGTTTGCTTCAGAGACACAGAGCTGCAGTTGTATTGCAAAGAATTATGAAATGTCAAATTGCTAGTAATACAATCGGGTATACGTGGTTGTATCATGAGTTAGTTTAGAATTAGAGTATAAATGTATTTGGAATAACCTATTTCTTGCTTGCTCATCCATGCATTAAACAGTCATCTGTTGATGGCTCGTAAGGAGGCTTTCTGGAAATGCTGCTTTGCTCATTTGGTTACGTCCCAGCATGATTACGTCCAACACATTTATCTACCATTAACCAATTTCCCCTTCTCCTATTATTCACTAGAGTTATATGCAACAGAAAAAAGACAATTTTCCTCTTGATTGTGAGTTGAATGAAAGGATTCTTTAGATTTTTAATGATAGCAGCAGTAGGTTTACCATATTAAAAGTTATGTATATTATTCTTCCATCTGTGGTCTGTAGTTCAGGAAAATATGACCTATTTGTCCAAATATTCATTAATGCAAAGATCTTCGGTGAAACTCAACACAAACTATTCTTCACATTTTTAATTTTATTTTCTTTTTGTTGGATGAAGTGTACTCATTGGGGTAATAAGAAAACTAAGATATGACTTTGGCATAACTGTGCAACACTTGAAGGACACCAAACCATTAACTCGAACCATCGTGGAACCATAAGAAATATTGTTCGAGTTACTAGATCTTGGATGGATATATTACTAATCAACTTTCTATTATGTATGATATGAGGGCAAAATCGAACACAATAATGTGGAATCAATCGAGTTTTCAAACTGTGCATCACCATCAACTCATTAGCAATTATAACTTCATATTCCAAGATGGTTGCTGCTTTTGTATGATAGTATTATACATTAAGAGAGAATAAAGAGATAACATTAACAAATCCTTTTTTCAGCCACAAATATCAAACTTTGCTCCTAAGAAAAATTGTAGAGCAATTTTGCTATCTGTCACAACAAGATATTGTATTGATGCCTTCTCTTGACTCCATGTACTACTCATCTTGCTCATTGGACACTGAGATTGCCTGCTGCAAGTACCTGAAGGATCTCTCACAGTTGACAAAACCCATAAACCAGAACTCGAAATCATCCTCTGTGAGTATCTGGATGTACTTCTGGTTTGGCTTGGTAGTGTTCTCACTCTGGATGGCTTCCTTTATCCTACCGAGTGGAATCAAAACCTGTAGAATACAAATTGTTCATAGTTTGTCACATTGGATTATGATACATAGTTGTGTTGGTCACTTTGGAGCTTGTGATTACCTTGTAAGGCACTCTAACCAAGCCTCCTTTAGGAGAAGTTAATTTGAGGGATCGATCGCTGCGGAAGGCGATCTTGTCAGTGGAAATGAAAAGCATGCCCGGGATGGGACCAGCTGTGGTTGAAAGATAGCACTGGAAGGCTTTGAGCAACTTTTCGCCTGGCACGATGGAGAAGGCTTGTCTGAAGACCCTCTCGACCCCACCTGCTTGAACAATCCGAGCTCCCATGCTCAGCTTCCCCTTCATGGTTTCAGAGATCTTGGGACCCAAAATCACTGCACTCAAAACAGTAACCTACAATTATAGTGCCAGTTTGATCGATCACGGAAGAAGTGTTGTTTTGTTCATGAAGTTAGGGGATGATGATTACCATGTTCGCGGAAGCCTCCTGCCTTCTCTCCGAGCTTGCTCATCCAGTCGACAACAGAGTCCTTCTCTGCAATCAGAGGAAGCACCACGTAAATTACACAACCTAAGCGCAGTCCAGAAACCAAGGATGGGGAAGGCTCTGAGTCCTCTGAGAGAGAGAGAGAGAGATGAAGATTACTCTGTTTGCAGTGGGAAGGAGAAGGATTTCCTGGCAGTTCCTCCCCTCCAGCATATGCGACGGAGCTCACAGGAATCCCGATGACATGCTCACGGTGTAGGCTCTCCATTTAGAGAAATCTGCTCTGTCTGGCTCTTCTTCGGTTGCAACTCTCGTCGATTTTTCTGGTCTCTTTCTTTCTCCATGTTTCCTT